CGTAGCTGCTGCCCTTGTGCTCCACGAATCCGACCTGGCCCCCGAAGTCCTCCACCCGGTGACATCGCGTGACCCCACACCGGGTTCTCCCTGTGTCATTCAGAGCAGCCGCAGAGTGGCACATCTGCGGGGTTCTAGTTTTTTATTTTTATTTTTTTTTGCTTTTTGGGTCACAACCAGAGATGCACAGGAGTTACTCCTGGTTCATGCACTCAGGAATTACTCCTGGCGGTGCTCAGGGGACCAGACGGGATGCTGGGAATCGAACCTGGGTCGGCTGCGTGCAAGGCAAACACCCTACCCGCTGTGCTATTGCTCCAGCCCCGGGGTTCAAGTTTTTACGCAGAAGGAACCTGTGAGTGCTGGTTGGCCTTGTTGGAAGCTCCGTGGATCATTTAATGGTTATCCAGAATCCGTTAAGAGCCGCTCACGCCGCCCGCAGGGGTGGGCCCCGGGGGAGGAGGACGGCGAGAAAGGCCGAGGCTCAGGCAGGACGGGCAGCCTGGCTGCCCACCGCTCTGTGTTCCCGCCCCCTCCAGCCCCTGACACGCGCTGCCCAGCCGGGGCTGGCACCGTGCCCCCCACCCCCCAGCCCACCCCCCACACCTCTGTTGCTTTTCCTTTCGGTCCCCTCTGATGAAAATGTGATGCCGATTGCCGGCGATTGCTCGGGTCTGAGATGTTGCCGGTTCTCCTCCAGCACTGGCGGGCGGGCGGGTGTGCGTGCGGAGTCGGGGAGTTGCGAGTCGTTCTTGGCCACTTCCTGTTGCCTCCATATGGCTGTCAGCGTTCCATTAGCCTGATTGATGGAGCCCATCCGTCAGCAGGATTTCGTCCGAGGCCCGCGCCCGCGGAGCCTGGGAACAGCTGGCCCGCAAGCCTGCTGCCACCCCCCGCCCGCTTCTCCCCACCCCAGGACGATCCAGGTGCCCTTCGCTCGCTGGTGACCCGGGCTGTGTTAGCGACACCCTGTTTCAGAGTGAGCCCATTTCAGAGGTGCGTCGCCTCGTGGTTCAGAGATGGAGCCTCAGCCGCAAAAGACACTACCTGCTCTGGGAGACCGAACGGATTTGGGTGCGGTTTCCCGTTTGAAATCCTTTATGTTTTGCTTCTTTCTTTCTTTCTTTCTTTCTTTCTTTCTTTCTTTCTTTCTTTCTTTCTTTCTTCCTTCCTTCCTTCCTTCCTTCCTTCTCTCTTTTTTTTATTGAATCACCGTGAGATGCAGTTACAAAGCTTTCGTGATTGAGTTTCAGTCATACAACGATTGAACACCCATCACCCTGCACCAGTGCACATTCTCCACCACCAGTAGTCCCCAGTATCCCTCCCACACAACCCCCCACCCCCACCCCACCTCTCCCCCTGTGTCTGTGGCAGACAACTTCCTTCTTGCTCTCTCTCTGTGTTTGGGCATTCTGATATGCAACACAGATACCGAGAGGCCATCATATTTGGTCCTTGATTTACTTTCAGCGCAAAATGGGAGACTTGTTTATTTGAATCTGTGGTGCTCGGTCTTGTCCTCTGAAACACAGTTTTGCTTTCTTTGATTTTATGTTTTTATTGATTTGATCATTTTGGTTTTTGCATCACACTCCGGGCTGACTCCTGGCTCTGTGCTCAGGCATCACTCCTGGTGGGCCTTCCAGTGGCCCACGGGGGGGGAGGATGGGGAGGGCTGGGGATTGAACCCGGGGCAGCCGCGGGCGGGGCAGATCCCTGCCCCTGCTGCACTGCCACTGCGGCTAGAGGAGGCCTCGATTCTTAGCTCATGGCCAGTGGATATCCCGTGCTAGCCTGGACTAAAGAAATTCACCGATAACCCGATAGACTCGGGTTATCCCAGCTTGGAGTCCGAGAGTGTTCTCGACCCAGCGGTCCGGTGGAGGGGAGGAACTTGTAGCTCATCCTTAGTCCTGGTCTGCCAGCTCTGGGGTCGCTGTGGAAAGCGCGCGTAGGGGAGGGGGTTCCTTTCCAGCGAGGAGCAGACTTACCTGGCAGGTGGGCGCGTGGAAGGGGAACGGCCCCACAGTGCTGCGGGGGGAAGCAAAAGGGCCTGTGACACGGGTTCGCCGGCTGCGGTGACGGGACGTCCTCAAGGCGCGCTCCCCACTCACCGCCCGCATAAAAAGGCGACCCCGTCTCTATTTCATTCCGGTCTCGCCGTCGGAAGCCCCTTAAATCAAAGTTGGACACCACCCCCGGTTTTCCTTTCAGATCCGCAGCGCGATGATTTGCTGTTTGTTTACGGTGCAGAAGGATAACGGCGTTTCCGAGGGACGGCCGGCAGCGCCCGGGGTCCCATCGCTTATAAATAGCTCGAGCTGGGATCGGCACCAGAGTGGCAAAGCCCTGAGTCTGGGTTTTGCAGTGCTGTGCTGGCTCCTCGGGCCGCGGCTCGTATAAATAGGCCGGCCGCCCCCGTGGAGTGCCACGGGCGGGAGTGATCTGAGTCGCGTCTCGGGCAGGTGGCCGCGTGCGCTGGGGGCCGTGGCCCTGGGTTTGCCCGGTTCCACGGCCGCCCTCTGGAGTGGACAGGTCACCCGCTGGAGGCTCGGCTGACCAGGCGCAGGGTGTCCGCAGGGCCTTCTGCTCCTGTTGCTCTGGGGCCACGCTCTGCCCAGGGGTCAGTCCTGCTGGGTGCAGGAGGGTATTGGCCACATGCACAGCAAGAACCTTGGGTCACTGGACAAAGTCCCCGGTCCCTGTCTGGGCAGTGTGGCGCCGTGGCTGGGGCTCAGGCCTGGTGTGAGGCCACGTGTGTGTCTCCCTCCCTAGTTTAGCCGGTCAGCGAGGCCCATGGCTTCCAGTGGCTTCCTGTGGCTTCTGGGCCCCGTCCCCACAGCTGGGGTGGTCGTGACAACAGTTTTATTTATTTATTTATTTTTTGCTTTTTGGGTCACACCCGGCAATGCACAGGGGTTTCTCCTGGCTCTGTGCTCAGGAATTACTCCTAGCGGTGCTCAGGGGACCCCATGGGATGCTGGGAGTCGAACCCGGGTTCGCCGCGTGCAAGGCAAACGCCCTACCCGCTGTGCTATTGCTCCAGCCCCGACAACAGTTTTATTTTATTTTATTATTATTTTTTAATGTAGGAGTACTGCTATTTATGCAGCCACTGATTAGCTGATTGAATTGGGCATGAACTCCACTTATTTTCTTTTTTAACTTTTTAATTGACCCACTGTGAGACAGACCCTTACAAAGCTGTTCATGTTTGGATGTCAGTCATACAGTGCTCCAACTCCCGTCCCTCCACCAGGGCACATTTCCCAGCACCAGAGTCACCAGGTTCCCGCCCATCACCCTCACCCGGACTGCTTCTGTGGCAGGCCCTTTCTCTCTCTGTCTCTGTCTCTCTCTCTCTCTCCCCCTCCCTCCTTCTCTCCACCCCCCCCCCCTTGTGGATATTGTGGTTTGCAATATTGATACCTAAAAATATCCGTTACCTACTTTTTTTTTTCTTTTTGGGTCACACCCGGCGATGCACAGGGGTTACTCCTGGCTCTGCACTCAGGAATTACTCCTGGCGGTGCTCATATGGGATGCTGGGGATCAAACCCGGGTTGGCCGCGTGCAAGGCAAATAAATGCTACCTGCCCTGCTGTCGCTCCAGCCCCCCCTTCCCTACTTTTCACCCTCAGATCTGTGACAACAGTTTTAGCTGCTTTGCAGTGGGTGTGCTGTAATACACCATCGGATCTAAGTTACAGTTCCGTGACGGTGACTGGTGGCCAATGGCTTAGACACGAGCCAGAGGATTGTCTCCTTTTTCTGTTCTGGGGACTATCTGGGTGGCATTGGTGGCGTGATTTCCTACAAGGTTGGCTAGATTATGGGAGTCACGGGGGGCTAGAATTTTTCAGTATGGGAGATTTTTAAGCAGGATTGACTTTCTTTAAATAGAATCCAGTATACAGCGCAGTCCCATTTTCCTCTCTTCTTGGGGCAGTTTCCAGTATGCTGTATTTTTTGGAATATTTTCATTTCCCTGCTCTAAATTTAAGTTGTTTGCCACAGAGTCTTGTTCTGGGGGTCTCTAGGGAGGGTCTTTGTTCAGACTTGATGTCAGTCACTGGGGGCCCCACTGCGAATTGGGCCTGCAGGTCATCCTCCCTCTGTGGTGTCTCTCGTCATCTCTGTCCCTCTGTGCCCTAGTCTCTGAGTCTCTCTGTGTCTCTGACCTGTCTCTGTGTCTCTGTCTGTCTGTCTGTGTCTCTTGCAGTCCTGCCAGCCCTTTATTGGTTGCATTCGTCTTTGGTCTTTGTGTTTGCTATTCAGCATATTCAGTTATTTCCAGTTTATCAGTGATGCTGTTCAAGTTTCCTGTGTCCGTCCTATTTTATTTCATGTCACATAGATGTTAAAATCACAGGGGTCTGTGGAAATCTCCTACTGCAGTTGTGAACTTGTGTATTTTCCCTCTTAAGTCTGTCAGTTTTGGTCATGTGTTAGGTGCATAAGCGTCGTTCCTGGTGGGTCGAGATTTTTATTACATGAAGTAATCAGCATTTTTCTAAATGGTTCCCATAGTTTGTGTTAATTCGGCAGATTTCTTTCTATTTGATTGCAGTTTTTGCATTTAGGTAAATGGCTGGTTTTTGTTTTTATATTTAAAAGTGCATCCTATCTAGATAAATGTCTTTTGATTAGTTTACACCTTGCGGTGATCACAGGTATCTTTTGGGTTAAACAGCCCTTCTTCTGGCTCTTGGCGTGTTTCCTGTTCCCTCTCCACTTTTTCCTCGCCTTCGGTTTTCACTGTTCTGTCTCCCCTTTCCGTTAGCTTGTTAAATTGAATTACGATGGTCGCGATCACAGCTTCCTATGCTCGCCGTCACTTCGCACTCCATCACTGCCTGCGCAGAGCCCGGCTCTTGGCGCGGCTTATTTTATTTTTTCCTTGGGACACCTGAACCCCAGTCACTCTCCCGGCTGTCACTGCGCCCGTCACCCCGGGACGCGCGGACTTCCCGCTCTCACCCTCTTCTCCTCCGCAGGCTTCGAGACCGCCAAGTCCTTCGCCCTCCACGGCGCGCACGTGATCCTGGCCTGCAGGAACCCGGCGAGAGGCAGCGAGGCCGTGGCCCGCATCCTGGGAGAGTGGGTGAGTGTCACGCCTCTGCGGGTCGCTGTGTGTGTCTGGGCTCTCTGGGCCGGACGCCCGAAGCCGTCTCTCCTCCAGCCCCTTCGTAGAAACGCCGTCGGCATCACGGGAGCGTTTCACTTCCCGCCTTTTGGGTTTCGATGGGCTGGCTGGAGCCCTCGTGTCGGGCTCTGTCCATGTGGCCATGGGCGTCGCTCTGTGAGTGTGAATGTCCCGTTGGTCCCGTGCGGGAGGGGGTTGGGGGGGGGTCTGGGACTCAGGTGTGGCGTCTCCGCCTGGAGAAGGCCAAGCTCAGCATCGGGTCGTTGGGGATGCGACCTGAGGTAGACCGTGTTTGCAGGGAGCGTTGGAGGAGGGGGGTCCGGGAGGCCCCTCCAGAGCCGCCTTAGCCCAGAGCCCTTCGGGAGGAGGTGACCTGGGAAACGGGTCCAAGCATCGGGGCCATGGAGGGGGCAGGAGGTGGGATTGTCGCTGCTCCTGGGCGTGTCTGGGGCTGAGCGGGCAGGGAGGGGGCGCGGGTGAGTCCCACGGGCCAGCCCCTGGGCTCTCGGGCCGGGGTGAGGGCTGGGCGTGTAGCCAGGCATCCACCCGCGCCCCCGGAACAGGCCGGCATCTTCGGAACAGGGGCCCGTGGGTGCGTGAGGTGTAGAGCGCCAGGGACGTTGTGCGTTGGGGCTCTCGGCCACGAGCGGGAGTCAGACTCAGGCAGAGACGCAGTGGCTGCAGCCTGGGCTCCCGTGATGCCAGCCACGTGTCTGGCGCTGACCCGGTCTGTGTGTGAGCATAGCGGTGACGTCGCCATGCAGCTGTGCCCGTCCCGGAGGGCGTTTGTCTCTGCCTTCCCGGCCAACTTCCAGCCTGGAGTCTGCGTTGGGAGCTTTTGTCCCAAGCCCCCTCCAGTTATGCTTCCGGGTTCAAGTGAAACCACAAAGTGGCCTGTGCTGGCTTTGGGGCTGGGGGCGGCATAGGTGCCAGGGCCCGTCCTTGGTATGTCCGGGCACTGAGTGGTCAGACCTGGGCCACCCAGCGTGGAACCCAGGCCCCGGCCGAGGAAGCCCTGTTCAGAAAGAACGCGTCCAGTTGCGGCCCGGTCACAGCCACGACAGATACACGAGGGGGAGGACGGTGACCCGTGCCCGACGGCGGGCCCTTCACCCAGACTGGTGGGCCAGGGTGACAGTGTCGCTGCCCCCTGGATGTGCAGTCCTTCCTCGGAGGCCTGGAAGGCTGGTGGCACTCACCTTCCTGGTGCGTTCTCCCGGCCGACTCCTTGTTCTGCGGTGGCCGCCCCTGGACACGCCCGGCTGTCTTGGTCGTGACTTCTCCCTCCCAGCACATCTGCTGGCCGCGGCCTCTCCCGCTGCCAGGAGCCGATCCAGCCTGTGTCTCTGCACCCGTGAGTGTGTGGCGACGCTGTCAGCCCAGTGGGCTGCTCTCCACCTGTGGGGACTTAGAGTTGAAGAGCAGACGCGGCTCCCCAAGAAAGAGTGTCCCCCAACAGTTGCCCCCCCCATGAGCGGCTCTCCAGCACGGCCACGACTCCAGAACACAGAAACCAATTTCTTAACTATCTGACTTTCAGTATAAATACTTCCAGGGTCAGTAAGTAAAATAGCAGAAATCCAAAACCAACATATAATTCTTGAACCCAGCTGTAGAAAGCAAATCACTTCACAATGCTTTGTCAGCATGTCTGATTTGGGGGTGGGGGGGTAAACTCTAAATAATAGTGGTGAATCTTTTATTGAAACAATGAATCTAATCAAAGCAGATAGAGTGTTAACTAGAATTCATCTGCCCCACAGGGACTGGGAGGGGTGGGGGGTGGGGTCTTATTGGGGTTCTTCATGGTAAAAAATAAGTATCGGTAAAGGGAAATGTGTTTGATATTTGCATGACTGAGACCTAAACCTGAAAGCTTTGTAACCTTTCCCACAGTGATTCAATAAATAAATAAATTAAAAAAAAAAAAAGAGTGTCCCCTTCTCAGAATGCCCGGTGGGGGGCAGGGGACAGGAGAAAGTGGAATGGGAGGGCTGGCAGACTGACCCCAGCTCCTGGGAGAAGCCCCACCTCTCAGTGTCCCTGCCCCGCTCTCTGGGTCTCGGGAATCCCCTCGGCCTGCTCCTTGGCCGTTCTGGGAGTGCTCCTGGGTGGTGCTCGGCAGGGCACTCCCGTGCTCTGGTCCTCACGCCTCCCAGCCTCCCTGGCACGTGTCAGACCCCCCCCCCCCCCATCCTCGTGTCACTCTTGGTCACGTTGGTCGCTCCCGGTTTCTGAGTCACCCCACAGTCTGCGTCTGTTGGTGGTCTCTCCGGGTGACTCGGCCCATATCGGAGAGGGATGTCACCGCCCCCCGAGAGCCCCGGAACGACCCGTGCTCAGTTCTTATTCCTACCTGCAAGGGAACCGGTGACAGGTGCGCCCTTGGCCGCTCCAACGTGGCCGGCCCTGGCCCCGCGGGGAGGATGTTGACCCGCCACGAATCCCTTCCCCGTCTCCGTCTGTCCGGCCTCCTCCGTGGTAAGAGATGTGTGTTTCGTTTGTCGATTAGTATTTTCCAGCGTTGTTCGTATTAGCACTCAACTGTCATCCGAAAAGCCATCTTAATTATTTATGTGATTGCTTTTTCCTTTGTATTTACAGTGAAGTACACTTTGCATCTATCGGGGAAGATGATTAAGGGTCAGTCAGCGGGAACAGTGAGTGTGGCCGGTGTCGATGTGGCTCTGGGAAAAGTGAGGTGAACTGGGGGTGGGGGATGGGACCTGCCCGGGAGCACATGGGACAGCAGGGTGTCCTGGCAGGCTCCAGTGGGAGGCCCAATCCCTGCCTCCTGCAGCCTCCTGACAGACATGGGAAACACTGATTTTGCTCTTCATCTCAGACGAGGCAGGCCTGGTCCCCAGTTGGGGGCGCACTGGGTTCGGCACATGGGTGTGCTTTATTTACTTATTTTTTGCTTTTTGGGTCACACCCAGCGACGCTCAGGGGGATCCTCCTGGCTCATGCACTCAGGAATTACTCCTGGCGGTGCTCGGGGGACCATATGGGATGCTGGGAATCGAACCCGAGTTGGCCGTGTGCAAGGCCAACACCCTTCCTGCTCTGCAGTTGCTCCAGCTCCTAAATGGATGTTTTCAGGGCCTGGCCAGGTTGCTGAAGAGGTGGCTTGCTCGCTTCCTCAGTGCCTGTCAGCAAATCCGACAGTCAGGATTCTGTGTCGCTCTGGTGTCAGCTGGGGCCTCTCAGTCTTCTCTGTTAGTAACAGATTTCCGTCCCCCGCTCTGCCTTTACAGAGAGAAGGGCTTCGCTCCAAGATGCTTTCTTTCAGGGTGTGTGTGTGTGTGTGTGTGTGTTGATGTGACTTGCACGGGCTGGGTGGGTCATTTGTAATCTTTCTCCCACCGTGTGACTTGGCCTAGAAAGAAAAAGACCCCTGTGGATGTGACCCCGGGTTCCAGGCATCCTCTTCCTCATTTTGAGTGATCTTCCATTAAACAAAAATCTGAAAACAATTAACATTCCTAATAGTTATAGATTATTGGGGACTGTCTGTCCTAAGTCAGCCACTAGTTTTTTTCCTCATTTCTTTGCTTTAAAAATTGTTTTTATGAATAGCAGTAGACTTTCCCATAAATAAAGTCTGAGAGAGAAACAAATGAGAAACAAATGAGAGAAACACATCTGAAACCCAGCAAGGACCGTGTCATCAGCACACTTCAATCAGTGGGCCCACGCACATACACATAGAGGGAAGGAGAAAATTCTAGATTTTCTATTTCCTCTGACTGAAAACCAGGCCTTTTACGCCACTGCCTACACGTGCCATCTTGCTGGCCAAGAGTCGAGCCCAGAATCGTGTCCCCCAAAGAAAAGGTGTTAAAACGGGCCGAGATCTCCCCAGAGGAATTACACGAAGACAAGTTGCGATGCAGTAAGCAGAGGGTCTTTATTGGCGAGTTTGAGCGAGGGCTCTCGTCCCGCTCACTGACACAGTGGCAGCGTTCTCGGAACAAGCAGCCCCGAGTCTTGAAAGTGGGGGGCTTTTATACAATAACATTATATAACAGGAACTTTCCATGGACCACCCTCTTGGCCGCAGTCTGAGGGGCTTTCCACTACTTGTCCTTAGCTGATTGGTTATAAGTTGGATTTACATAGGGGTTGCATAAAAGTTCCATATAACCCTGCATCTGATTAGTAACCCTTAGTTGAGCTCACCGTAGCTATCTCACTTATGGGAAATCATGACTCAGTTCCAGGTATCTATGCTCAATTCCAGGAATTCTGGAACTGAAACTCGGCCTGGCTGCTTCTGGCTCCTTTTTGAGCCGGCCAGGGCTCTGCCTTTGCCTCTCTGTCTCTCACAGGATACTGCTGAATCTTCCTAGGCCGACCGGTGGGCCTGAGAGCTCTGGTTCCTTCTCAGAGTGAGGGCGGGCAGGTCCCCCTTCTGCTGGGGGCCACAGCAGCCCAGAGCCACCCCGGGCACCCTCCAGCACAGAAACCGCCCAGCTCCACGGCCGAACCTCCTCAAAGGGCCAAGCCATCACTTCGTCCCAGATCTCCAGCCCCCGGACACCTCAGAATTTTACAGTTCTGTCCGCCCGGTAGGAGTCCAGCACATCTGATGGGGAAGGGGCATAGGAGCCCACCTAGCTCCATGAGCCTGAACAGACCAGCAGCGACCAGCCCAGCCTGTCCTCAGTGCCCTGCGTGTCCTCATGTGTGACCCCACAGTGACCCCAGACCAACTCTTACTGATCTAAGACTTGATCCTTTCATCTGCCTCCGTGCGGTAATAGACGATGTGAAGCGAAGTTGACTGGCCTCGCAAGGGGGCAGCTGGGGGACCTGGGGACACCCGTGGTGGGCTTGGTGTTGGAACATCAAGTGCCCGAAACAGCCATATCACGGAGAACTGGGTCAGTCGCAGGGTCATAATAAAATCAAACAAACGCGTGCTGTTCTTGTCACCCGCAGGTAGGCTCAGATCC